CCTGGGGGAAGTGGGAAATAATTAAAACACGGGGTTATTTATCAATCAGCGATGAACGTGCGTGAGTCGGAATCACTCCTAGGTCACAAAATTTTTCCTCAGGGCCGGTTTGTGTTTAATTTTAAATCTCAGCGTTCCAAATCAGCTCAGAGACAAGGTTTTATCCGCCCGTTCTGGGACTGAGTCTGCAGGGGGTGGCGGGAGGGCTTTTTCTGGCTTGACTGGGTGAAGAAATATTTCAAAGAAAAAGAAATGTTTTTAAGTGTAGATGTTCTTCAGCCACAGTTTCGCTACCAGGGAGAATTTAGGGGTTTTGCTAAAATCTCCTGCTCTGGTTTCGTTTTGGATGCAGAGAAACAGACGAGTCCTCTGCCCCAAAGGAGTTTTGGTCTCTGTGAAAGAAAGAAAAACCTCAAACAAGGCTTGGGGCAGCGGAGCAGGTGAGGATGGAAGGCACGGGGATTTGGGAAAGGGAGACCCGGATCCGCCAACGCCTCTGGTGGGGGCGAAGGGTGGACGCAGCGTCCTTGGGCAGGAGCCGAGGAGCGTTTAAAGTCCTTCGACCGTCTTCCCTGTTTGTTTTCAGGTGTTGGAGTATCCTCAAGCTCTTCCTTGGATGTGAAAAATGACCAAGCTGGGTTTTTTTCGGCTCTCGTATGAGAAGCAGGACACTCTGCTCAAGCTTCTCATCTTGTCTATGGCGGCCGTGCTGTGTGAGTCCGTGTCCCCAGGGCCCTCAAATGGGGACGCCGGGGTGGAACCACCTCTGCTCCTTCTTTTATAGCTCAGGAAGCCGCCACGTATCTTAAGCAAACCCTTCTTTACCCGTTGCTTTGAAAAGCATCTTTCCTTGTCTTCCCTTTTCGAGGCCGAAACGATATAACGATAAACCCAATAAAAGTTATAACGATAAACCCGATAAAAGTTATAACGCTAAACGCGATAAAACTTTGGCTGCAGCTTCACTCCGCCCTTTCTCCCCGTTTGCAGCTTTCTCCACGCGCCTTTTCTCCGTCTTGAGGTTCGAAAGCGTCATCCACGAGTTCGACCCGTAAGTGCCGCCGGGTTTTTTTATTCTTTTTTCCCCCCCTCTGCCGGAATTCCGAAGAGCCAACGACGTGGAGCTGCTTGGTGCCGTTACAGGTACTTCAACTACCGCACGACCCGCTTTCTGGCCGAAGAGGGCTTCTACAAATTCCACAACTGGTTCGACGACCGCGCCTGGTACCCCTTGGGCAGGATTATCGGCGGCACCATTTATCCGGGTAAGCCGAAAGGCGGGGAGGGAAAAAATCAGGAGAGGAGGAGAGCTCAGGGGCTGTGAGATTTCCAGCCCTTAATTCCGAGCTAACGGCCTCCTGGCTGTCCCCGCAGGCCTGATGATCACGTCGGCAGCGATTTATCACGTGCTGCACTTCTTCCACGTCACCATCGACATCCGCAACGTCTGCGTGTTCCTGGCTCCCCTCTTCTCTTCTTTCACCACCATCGTGACTTATCACCTCACCAAAGAGCTCAAGGTGAGGGGGCGAAGTTCCCGGGTTTAAAATTTCATCCTTCCACGATAACAAAAGCCTGAAAAAACTGTGTGTGGTTTTGTTTGCTTTTCTTTTTTTTCTGCCCTCTGGTCATGTTTTTCACCCCAGGATGCAGGGGCGGGGCTCCTCGCCGCCGCCATGATCGCGGTTGTGCCCGGCTACATCTCTCGCTCCGTCGCTGGCTCCCTAGATAATTGCTCCTACGATAATGAAGGTGAGGCCGGGACGCACGACGGCTGGAAAAGATGCCGCGGGGAACTCTCCTTTCCCCTGTGGTTTTACAAACCTGACTCCTTGGAGCCTGGTGGTTCGTGAGAAGAGGGAGGTTCTCTTCTGGTGGAGCAACGACGGCCTTTTAAATATAGATTTTTAATGGTTCTGTTAAAGCTTTGGGGCTCGATGTGAGCTCGCTCTGACTTTTCCCTATCCTTCTGCCCAGGCATCGCTATCTTTTGCATGCTCTTGACCTACTACATGTGGATCAAAGCCGTCAAAACCGGGTCCATCTACTGGGCCGCCATGTGCGCTCTTGCCTATTTCTACATGGTAAGTGTTGCTTCTCTTGATATTCCCAAGGTTACGGGGAGCAAAAATCCCCGATGCGCCATCCCTGCCTCCTTCGAGGAGCCGGAACCTCAGTGAAGGGCTCGGCGCAAAAATAGAACAGGCGTTTTCATCGTCCCCTTCCTCTTTAGCATTTTATTTTTCGCACGAGGTTTTATTAATAACCTTTAAAAAAACCCGACCGCGCCACGTTTGATCTCTGCTGTGGAACCCCTCCAGCCCTGGCACTTTTTTTGGGTTAATTTTCTTTTCGTCCGTTCCGTTTTCTGTCTCGACAGGTGTCCTCGTGGGGCGGCTACGTCTTCCTGATCAACCTCATTCCCCTGCACGTTCTCGTGCTGATGCTGACCGGCCGCTTCTCCCACAGGATCTACGTCGCCTATTGCACCGTCTACTGCTTGGGCACCATCCTCTCCATGCAGATCTCCTTCGTGGGCTTCCAGGTGGGCACCGGGACCGTTCGTGGCCTCAGGGGACAGTGGTTTCGTGGCGGCGTTGCCACCTGGTTGTCCCTCTGCAGCCCGTCCTGTCCTCGGAGCACATGGCTGCCCTCGGAGTGTTCGGCCTCTGTCAGATCCACGCCTTCGTCGACTACCTCCGGAGCAAGCTGAACCCGCAGCAGTTCGAGGTCCTCTTCAGGAGCGTCATCTCCCTCGTTGGCTTCGTCCTCCTCACCATCGGGGCCGTGCTGATGCTCACGGGTAGGAGGAACAGAGATGTTTATCCGGAGAGAACCGATGGCCATCGCTGAATCCAATTGATTTATTATTATTTTTTTCAATTCCGTAGGGAAGATCTCCCCCTGGACGGGGCGTTTCTACTCCCTGCTCGATCCTTCCTACGCCAAGAACAACATCCCCATCATCGCCTCCGTCTCCGAGCACCAGCCCACCACTTGGTCCTCCTACTACTTTGACCTCCAGCTTCTCGTCTTCATGTTCCCGGGTGAGCGGCCTGACGGCGGCGAATCGATGAAATTGCCGGAAGGGTTTTATCCCACCGGCCACCCCTTGCTCGCTTTCGGTTTCGATTGATGTGTGACCTGTTTTCTCTCTCCTCTGCACAGTTGGTCTCTACTACTGCTTCAGCAACCTCTCGGACGCCCGCATCTTCATCATCATGTACGGCGTGACCAGCATGTACTTCTCGGCCGTGATGGTGAGGGCCTCCGAAACAGTTTCCGCAAAACCGATTTGATTTTTGAACTCGTTGACGATGGTTCTTCCCCTCTCAGCACCCCAGTGTGGGTTGAGTTTCTGGTGTGGTGGCATCTCTTGGTTCCACCACAGAGATGTTCAACTGAGGTCGCTTCTGCACCTTGAGGCCTTCCGAGAACTTCCCTCGCGATGGTGGCAGCTCTCAATCTGCACCCCCAAAAATTTAAAAAAATCAGCTGGGATGTTTTTTGAGGTGTCAGATCAGGGATGGACTTGAATTGCCCTCTTCTCTTGGATTTCTGCCCAGATTTCTTCTCCGACGGTTCTGCTCTTGCCCGTAGGTGCGTCTCATGTTGGTGCTGGCCCCGGTGATGTGCATCCTGTCCGGCATCGGGGTTTCTCAGGTGTTGTCCACCTACATGAAGAACCTGGATATCAGCCGGCCCGACAAGAAGAGCAAAAAGCAGCAAGACTCCACCTACCCCATCAAGAACGAGGTGAGGCCTGGGAAGGAGGAGAAGACACCTCGTCCTGGTGGGTTCTTCTTTTGGGCGTTGACCCTGCTTTGTTGCCCCAGGTTGCCAGCGGCATGATCCTGGTCATGGCTTTCTTCCTCATCACCTACACCTTCCATTCCACCTGGGTGACCAGTGAGGCCTACTCCTCGCCCTCCATCGTGCTGTCCGCCCGCGGCGGCGATGGCAGCAGGATCATCTTCGACGACTTCCGAGAAGCTTATTACTGGCTGCGTCACAACACGCCGGAGGTGAACGGGGCGACAGGGGGGGAGAAATTTGGGTGACGGGGACCCGGCGAGGTGCTGACGGTGTCTGGTGGTTGGGTGCAGGACGCCAAGGTGATGTCCTGGTGGGACTACGG